TTTCTCGCCGAATGGATTTTTTGAAAAGAGAAACCATTCGGCGCGCCGGATGGGCTCGAATGTCAGCCGGATGGGCTCTCTTCCAGCCGGATGGGCTCTATCCCGCCAGATGGGCTCTAATTCCACCGGATGGGCTCTGTGAGAAGGCCTCGACGAATGGACTCTTCGAAATCCGAAGTGAGTTTTTGAAAAAACAAAGCAATTCTCATTTTTGGAATGCCCTCGCTCAAAAAATCGCATCCTTATGCTGGCTCCGCGCGGGCACACCTAGCGCTGGGCGTTCCCGCGCATTCCTTCAAATGTCCCAGTGCGCACGGACTGTCACGTGTGTTTCCTCGTTGTTGTTTTGGCATGTCATTGGCATGCAATGTAGTCATGTGGGTGCTCGGTGGGGGGTCCCAAACAAACGTGCAATGAATTCGCGCATCTCCTAAGTATCCGCGAAGGATTCCCAAGGATCCCTAGGCTTCCCTGGGGATAACCCCCATCCCTCGCGCCAAGGATTCCTAAGGTTCCCCTGGGGGTCCTTTCAAGGTGCCCCAAAGACCCCGAACGTTTCCTAAGGAATCCGCCCAAGATCCGCAAGGATTCCCAGGCTTTCCCTGTAGGAGTCCGCGAAGGATCCCCAAGGGTGCGTTTCTCGAGGGTGCCGCTCAGAATCCCGAAATATCCTTTGGGGATCCGCTAAGGGGTCCGAGGCTTCCTTAAGGATCCACTGAGGATCCCCAAGGATCCCTCGGGTTTCCCGTGGGCCGTGGGACCGCTAATGACCCCTAGATCTTTACGGTGTTCCTGGAGGGCGCGCTAACGATCCCAAAGGATCCTAAGGCTTTCCTTATGGAACAGCGAGACATCCCCACGCATCCCCAAGGTTCCCTCAGGGTTCCGCTAAGGATCCCGAAAGATCCGTGGGGCCCCCCTTCGATCCGCTAGGGATCCTCAATGATCCCAAGGATTTCCTCGGGAAAAGGATCCTGAGGATCCGCTGAGGCGGTGGCGTGGCGGGGCGGTGGGGCTGCGGGGTTGCGGTGCAGCGGGGTCTCGGGGCAGTGGCGTGAGGTCGCGGGTTCGTGGGGCGGCGGGGTGACATGGCGGAGATGTGGTGGGCGGTGGGATCGCGGGGTCGTGTGAGGACTTGTGGTCGCGGGATAGGGTCGCGGGGTGGCGGGGTGATAAGGTCGTGGGTGGCATGGGGTCGCGGGGGCATGGGGGGCGCGGGGTCGAGGGGATGTGCAAGCAGCGCGCACAACGGGGCTATCCGCCGAATGGACTCGGATGCCATGATGGCTTTGCCAACCGGATGGGCTCTAATGCCGCCGGATGGACTCTAACTTGGCGCCGGATGGACTCTAACGCCGCCGGATGGACTCTATCGGTATGGACTCTGTCTTACGCCGGATGGACTCCTTTGTCGCCGGATGGGCTCTAATCTCGAGAGTACATTCGGCGCCGGATGGACTCCATCTTTCTTTCTTTTTGGTCGGTTTGTGGGCACCTCCCACGCCGCGCGCCCGATGGAGTCCATGCGGCGCGCCGCATGGGCTCTCTTTTCGGAAGGGCCGTGCGCCGGAGGGCGAAAATATAGCGAAAAACCTTCCGCGTCGTGATTTTTTCGCGACGCGAGGGGGTCTGGGGACCCTTTCCCAGACCCCCTCGCGTCGTGAAAAAATCACGACGGGAGGTTTTTGCACTATTTTCGGCCTCTGGAGGCCCTTCCCGGGCCTCGGGGCCGTCAAAAAACGACTCAGGATGCAAAACCGGTCCCGGGGAAGGGGTCCAGACCTCTGGGGGTCGACGTCGTGAAAAATCACGACGTCGGGGGTCTGGGGACAGAGCCCGGGGCGGGATGCCGCAAGGCGCGCGCGGCATGGGCCAGGTGGCCCAGACATCCGGCTGCGCCAATTTTTTCGGTGCGTGGGCCCCACAGGTCGGGACCACTTCCCTAGGGCCGGTTTTTCGTCTTGTTTTTGGCGCTCCCGAGGCCGGGCGAGGGCTCCCGGAGGTCAAAAGTGCTAAAATCCCGCCGCTCCAACTTTTACGTAGGACGAAAAACCGACCATAGGGCGCGCCAGGGTGGGGCGGGCGCGGGGTAGGGCGCACCAAGGGCGCACCGGGGTAGGGCGCACCAAGGGCGCGGGGGTAGCAAACCCCCCCAAAGGGTAGGGCGCACCGGGGTGGGGCGGGCGCGCCGAAGAGCAGCGAGCGAGCCGCACAGCGACAGGCCAGCGGCGCCAGGCAGCCAGGCGCAGGCTGGGTGCTGGGAGGCCCTGACTCCGGATCCGCCCTACTTTGGGACAATTCGTAAGTAGGGCTTGGAGTTTCCCCCTTACCTTTCAAGCCCCGCTGATGCCAATTTCCGCCCTACTTTTCTGTTGCTGTTTCCGCCCTACTTATGTGGATTTCCGCCCTACTTTATGTTGGATGCAGAAATTTCCGCCCTACTTTTTCGGCTTCTTATAGGTGGATTTCCGACACAATTTTAAGTGGGGAAAAAACCAAAGTAGGGCGGATCTGGAGTCAGGGTGCTGGGAGGGAGCCAAAAACAGACCAGCGCGCTCCACGACTCGCAAATGGCCTGGATCCGCCACAGGGGATGCACGATATATATACATATATATACATATATATATATGTATACAAATATATGCTCGCCCCCCCTCCTATGATCTACCTTATGTCTTTTTTGTAGCACAAAGGAGCACAGTGAATCAGCGAGACCACTTCGAAATCATACCTCGCGCAGCATATGACTTGGTCTGATGCGGGAAAGGAGCATCGCTCGCAAATGACATAAACAATCAATAAAGACCCTTGAGCATTTCACCAGTGCAAGCCCACAAATCCGCACCTTTGTTCCAGTATGTCCACTGGGCGGAACGAATGCGGCGCGTTGCGGCAAGGGTGCCAACCCTGTGCGTGCGCGATTGCAAATGCTTCCGCAGATGCGACCAGAATCGATCGATGATCTGCGTTCCCGACTTAGTGTACATCTGCTCGCCAGTCGGCAATCTGTGGGCCACAACCTCAGAGTATTTCGGTTTGATCCAGCGTGTCACCCCTCGCAGAGTGACCTTCTTCTTCATGTGGACAACATTGTCGTGCAGAACCTTCGGGATCTTGAGCTTGTACGCTTTCGCCCCGTCTGTGTGCAGCACGACCTCTCGGTTCTCAAGGTGTCGCTTGGCAATAGGCTTCCAGTCGCGTTTGCGGATTGGGCCAGGCCCTGGAGCACGCCGCTTCGTCGTGCATGGATCAAGACGCGTCAGGACCAAAGTGTTCGGCCTGCCCCGCTCGACTAATCCTCCCCATTGTTCCCATTGCACTGGCTTGTCCTGGTCATCCTTCTCCGCATCATCCCTCTTGCCCAGGTCCACCTCGTCCGCCTCCACGTCCGGCCACTTGTCGATAGCGCCGAACTTGATGCTCTTTTCCTTCTTCTTGACATACTTCATCCTGGCGCTGTCAAGGCGAGTGTAGACATTCTCGATGAGCTTGTGGCTATTACCAGTTATCTGGTGGCACTTGCTCTGTGCCACGTCCCAGGTCGCACACGTGCAGACAGCTACCTTGTCCGCGAATGGCGCTGATGCGTTGCCCCGGCCATGTGAAAACACAGGATGGTCGTGATGGGGCAGCACAAACTTCTGGCACCTTTTGCTCCTGCATCGGTAGCTCGCGCTCCTGCCTGGAAAATTCTTCAATGGGCCCAACTCCCCCTCCCCGCACCAGGGGCAGATCTCGCCGCGCCAATCGCGAAGATGGCCGCTCGCGGTGAGCTTCTTCACTAGGCCCATCGCAGTGGCGGTGTACACGGTCTTCAGGGAACATTGGATTGCAATCCGTTCTGGGCGAGATTTAATAGTCTTTTGCCCGTGTCGAACGTAAGGCACGTATGGGGTCTTGTGCTTCGCAGCTGGCCTTTTTGCGATCTTCCTGACCATGCGCGCCTTCCCACGCTTAGGCATGCAAGACTGAAAGGCACTGGGCCTCTTCGTGCACGGCCGAGTGGACCCAGCAACCAAATCCAAAACATCAGCCTCGATACTAACTTTGCCGTCATCTCCGTCAGCCACTCGGAGCAGGCGAACGTGGCGTCGGCCATCGTCCCAATGAGTAACCAAGTCGTATAGAGCCTCGTCACCCATTTGCATGACGACTTCCTGACGCGAGTCGTAAACCAACATCATCGGCAACCCCTCGCGGGCACGAAGACCAATTGCATGTCCACGAGTTCCGGGTGTGCCGATATGCAGGACAAAATTATCCATGGGATCCGCGCAAATCAAGTCGCTCAGCAGTACCTCGGAGAACTTGAGAGGGGGGTAGAGCTTCTGCAATTGTCGGTAAGAGTACGGGCCGCTAGCGAACCCTGCCTGGCTCGGCTCCCCCGCAACTAAGTCCATGTTTGAGAGAGCACTGATGACGCACATGTTCTCACCGTGGACAACCTCGAGCGCCTTGCCTTCCAACTTCTCGCACGCAGCCGCCAGGACGGAAGAGAAGTCGTCCTCGTGCGGCCGAGAAGAGGAACTGCTGCCTAGAATGCGGTCGCCTGGCTCGGGAGCGGCGCTCCTCCAAGGAATCGGCGCGCCGCTTAAATCCTTCAATTGCAGAGATATCCCGTGGCCGGCTTCGATCGCAGACACATGTGCGATGAAGTTCTCGTCGTGCACGTCGAGCCCCATGGGTCTGAAGTAAATACCGTCGTAGACTAAAGAGATCGGCACCGCACCTGCTTCTTCCAACAGGTGCTTCATGTCCATCAGGACACTGCACTCCAGTTCGCCGAGGAAGATGTGCAGCGAGCTGCAATCTGGTCGCGCCTTCGCGACCTCCTGGTAAAGAACGTCGTGCTCGAGAAGAAACCGAGAAGCATTGACTATTTCCGTCTGCAAACAATCCAAGTGTGGGAGCCAGTCAGGCCGCTCCTGTGGATTTGGCGACTGCCGCCCGTAGGGGCTGGTTGCCGAAATCAGCAGCTTCTTCGCGACGGCCACCTC